AACTGTATAACTCTGAAACAGGAACCTTGACAAACAAGGCTACTGCGGTAAAACAATTTGAGCATGGTACTGCCAGGGACATGGTGGGGATTAAACCTGAAACTTCTTGCTTATGAAGCAAACGCTCTACCACTACACCACTACACTACTAACACTAATACAACATAAACAAAAAAATTTTTTTTGAAGCAATAAATAAAACTAGCTAATTATATGTAATTATGTATAGTTATATACAATCATATATATTCATATAAAACTGTATATATAATTACATATAATTATATGTAAACATATAAATTATACACAATCATATGTATTTATATAGAAATAAATATAATTAGACAAAAAAAAAAAAAAAAAAAAAACACAAAGAAAAATAGCATGTTTAAAACTATCTGAAAAAATTTTAATAATTTTAAAATGTTACAAAATAATATGCCATTTTGTGGAATCTTTAATTCAATTTATTGATGGGTTTTATTTTAAATTTAAAATAACCTAGTTAAAAAAAAAATTATTTATGATAATATTAAAAATATCATCAACAGATTTAATTATATTAAAAAATATCTTGTTTAGTAGCTACTACCATTTAATACTGCTTTATTTAACTTTTTATAAAATTCAAAATTTGTATATAAATTTTGATAAATTTTTAGGAGTAAGCAGAATAATTCTGTTGACCAGTCTAGAACTCTTTCTTTTTCTATTAAGCTAACATAGATATAAACCTGTGTTACATTGTTTCCTGCCTAGGATGATGAATGCTTGATCTTCTTGACTTTTTTCATAGGTTTTTGCTTGTGCCTCCTTGATAGTGGCTATGCGACTCTTTCTGTTATCTCCTAATGAGGATACAGCTCTAAAACTCAGTTTAATGGTTCTGCAGCTGGCTGGTAGTAAGGTTTTCCAAACTCTGTGGTAGCACTCAGAGTGGCTGATTTCATTAACAGCTGCAAAATATCAGAGTATTAACAGTGCTATGTTGCGCTTGGATGGTGTCCCTGTTAATGCTTTTGATGTGCATTATCGAGGCCACATAAGAAGCCCTATGTTACAACCTAGGGTTAATTAACAGGACGGAGAAAATTGCATAAATCATTGCTTCGGAGGCCGTGCTCTATCTATGAATAAGTCAAGTTCTCTTTAAACTCAAATTATGCCAAAAGTAAATCAAAATATTAAACATAAAAAACCATCCCCAACACCTACCGGGAGACCGAGCAAAAGCGTAACGCAAAAAATATAAAAAATTGAAAATGCACAAAAAAATTTTTTCAACTCATAACTGACTAGAATTTTGACTAGATATTTATTCATGACTAAGGTTTAAAATTATTCAATATGGCCATAACTGGCATCATACACTAGTTGGATACGCCGCTCAAAGGACCTGCATGCAGTCTTGACATCTTCTTTTGGAACTTTGGCCCATGCTTTACATATAGATTTTTTTAGTGACTCAGTACTTACATGGGGAATCTAGCAAGCCTCCTTCTTTACAGTCGTCCACATAAAAAAGTCTAATGGGTTCAGATATGGGCTAGATAGGGGCCACTTTAATTTGTCCCAGTACTGACTCATGTTTTCACTGAGAAAATTTTGTATCTTTTTTGAAGTATGAGCTGGTGCCCCATCCTGCTGAAACACATACTGACCATCTGGATAGTTTCTGTTTAACCAGGGAATGAGCTTCTCTTGCAGGAGGTGGATATACTCATCACTGTCAATTTTTTGACCATTTTTCACAAAAACTGGTGGACACTTTTTTAGTAACATCACAGAAGCTGGTTTTTTCAATGAAAATGAATACCTGATATTCTCAGGGACTGTTTTGGCAGTACTATGGTACCTTTACTGTTACTATGGTACCTTGTCTTATGACGATTAGTAACTTTATTCACAGTGAAAAGTTTTTCATCAGAGAAGATTGTCACACGCCCAGGTTAAGATTTTTGCCAGTTTAACAATTTTTTGCTTCGTTCTTTCCTACTTTCTTTCTGTTTATTAGTGATAAGATGCTTAGTCACAACAGCTCTGGATTTAAGGTTCAAATCTTTCATAACTTTTTGTTTTGTGGAGTTGGCAACATTGGTTTCCCTTGCCAACTGGCAGATGGAGCGCAATGGATTTTGCTTAACTTTTCTTTTGACAGACCTTAAAAGCTGAGGTTATCGTTTCACAGGTTTTGGCTTATTAAAACATCGATTGATATCTCCTGTTTCATGAAAAAGTTTTTTTACTCGAAAAATTGCTGTTCTGAAGCAGTTTAAAGCCTTTCTGATATCTGATGTAGTCTTATCGATTGCAACATTTGCAGAACGCTTCGTCTTTTTGATTCTTGCAGATCCATTTTAATTAAATTTTTTTTATTTCTGTGTTGATATCATTGCATAATTTGTAAACAAATAGATCCACGGATATCTAAAAGCATGGATAGAGCCTTAAATTTGAGCGTAACGCAGTTGTGTGGTCACCCGGTAACTGTTTTAATATATCTTTTACTAATATTCGTAGTCTGCATCAGTGGAATCTTACCTCTCTCAAAATTCAGCAGACTTGCTTGCTTATAGTGAGACTAATTTAAACTCCACTATTCCTTTTTCTGATCTCAATGTTGATGGGTACAATCCTTTGATTTGCAAAGACTTCAATAGTCACATGCTTGTCTTAGGGGTAAACATACACATCAATTTAGCTCTTTGTCATAAAATCAGGTTTAAATCCTTTGACCATTCTTTTATATGCTTCTGCTTAGCACCTCATCACTCTATCATCTTTCTCTTTGTTCTTTATTGTTCTCCTTTTTCCCAAGACTGTGCTTCTTTAAATATAGTTTCTGATCAAATTGACCATGCACTCTCTCTTTATCCCTCTGCCAATATTGTTGTTATTGGTGACCTTAATGCTCATCACACTGAATAGCTGAATGGCTAATAAGCCACCGACCCTGCTGGCACTAAAGCCAATAACTTCTGCATCTCTTAATCTTTTATTCAGATAGTTAACTTTGTGACTCATTTTCCTGACAACCCTAATCATTTACCTTCACTCCTTGATTTATTTCTGGTCTCTGATCCTAGCTTGTTTTCAATTTCTCCTTTTTCTCCTTTAGATAGTTCTGACCATGCTGATCTCTTTTCCTTCTCAGTTGATAAATGGGCCTCCTCCATAACACCTCTTGGATTCAGGCAAGAATAAATGCTTTGATTTCTTCTCTTCGGTTCTAAGTCAAACCCCATTCTACTCCATGGTTTTCACCATCATGAACAGCTGCTATATCTAATCAAAGTCATTTTTTCATCTTTTCCAAAAGAACAAATCTTGAGAACAAATTTTACTATTGCAAGAAATCAGTTTAAAAAGGTCCTGTCAGATGCAAAGCAGATGCAATTCTCTGTTCACTAAATCTCATACCTTATCTCAGAAGTTAGGCTTATGAGACTATTGGAAAATTTTTATTGTTAACAAAAAAAGGTAAAACATTCCATCTTTCATTCATGGGATTGATCCTATTATCTGTCCCAAAGATAAGGCTGAACTATTTGCAAAGAACTTTTCTTTTAATTCAATGCTTGAATCTTATGGCCATTCTCTTCCTCCATTTCAATTAAACAGGTTAACCCATTGTTAGACATTTAAATGACTCCAGCTTCTGTTGCTAAAGTTACATCTCGATTAAACTCTTCTACAGCTTGTGGTTCTAAGTTCTTGACTGAGTCTTGTTTTTCTGCTTGCTGGAAAATGGTATCTGTTGTTCCAATTTTCAAAAACTCCGGTGAACATTCTGTCCCCTCTAATTATTGGTTAATCAGTCTTCTTTCTGTTATTAGCAAGGTTTTTGAGTTTTTGATAAAAAATTTTCTCACATCCCATCTTGAGTCAAATAACTTACTGTCAGACAATCAATACAGTTTTTGATTCTCTCACTCTAAACCTGACTTGCTAACTGCTGCAACCGGGCTATTGCTCTTGACATATCTAAGGTTTTTGACAAAGTCTGGCATTGGTCTTCTCCATAAGCTTGATTCATATGGTGTATCTAGGAAAGTTTTTGAGATTATCAAGTTGTTTCTTTTTAATCGCTTTATCACTTAGAACAAGCAGCCGATCTTGAATCTGATCTCACTTCTGTAACAGATTGGTTATAGAAGTGAGATATTAGGGCTGGTTCTTCAAAATGATGCTCTCTTCTAAACCAGGTCTAAAAATACATTGTAAACGTAGTTGGTCCAGGTCTATCTGCTAAGTTTGAGCCTTTTTCCCTTCGTTGCAAAGTTGTATCTCTTTCTCGTTTCTGCAAACACTATCATGATCGTTGCTCAAAAGAGCTATTATCTCTAGTTCCATTAACTAAAACTCATTCACGCTTGGCTGGTCATTCATCGAAGTTTTATTCTTTTGTCTATATTTTTTCCCTGCACTTCAATCCTTTTTCAAACTCTCTCCCATCTCCCATCATTATACAACCTTCAACTTTTTAAGTCTTCTGACAACCATTTCCTTGCTCTATAACTCTATTCTTTTTTTCTAGTAACTCCCAACTTTATAGTGGTTGCTTGCAGCCTTGTTGAGAGTTAATTAGAAAAAAAAAAATAAATGAAATGAAATATAGAAGTCTAGTTTTAGAATAAAATTTCAAAACAAAATCAAACAAGGGAGGTTAAAGTATTTTTGGTCAAAAGACAAAACAACCTTTAGCTGCAGTCAAAAACATTTTTTAGTAAATTATTTTGCCTATTTATTCCATTAAAATATTTTTAATCTAAAAAGTTACTTTTCTAAAATATTATTAAAACTATCTTTTTAAAAAGTATATTTTTAGTTAAATAAGTTAAATTATATTAAAATATATACATTTATAAATATTTAACTTATTTGATTTTTATAATTTTTTATTACTTCAAAATTTTTCTTGCTTTTTTGATTTTTGATACTTTCACAAATAAGTAGAATTAAATTTAAAAACAGAAAAAACATTTACAAAACCAACCTACTTGGTCCACAAAGTTTGTTTTCAATCAGAAGTGAATAAACTGGTAATTCAGTTCCATGTGCAATTGGCTCGGTAAAAATCTACAAATACAAAAAAAAAAAAAAATTAAAAAAATAATAATAAAAAAAGAAATTAAAATATATATATAAATATATAAACCACTAGGTGCAGTTGCTAGTGAAGTAATTTAAAACAATTTAAAACTTTTAGTATTTGCTCACAAGCTTTATCATTTGGAAACAGATGATGAAGCTAAACAAGAAGAACAGAAAATATATCATATAGATACAGATGATGAAGCTAAACAAGAAGAACAGAAAATATATCATATAGATACAGATGATGAAGCTAAACAAGAAGAACAGAAAATATATCATATAGATACAGATGATGAAGCTAAACAAGAAGAACAGAAAATATATCATATAGATACAGATGATGAAGCTAAACAAGAAGAACAGAAATAGAACAAAGAAAAACAACAGAAGAACAGAAAAGAAGAATAGAACAAAGAAAAACAAGAAGAACAGAAAAGGTAAAAAAAATCAAAAGCTGAGACACCATGAGAGAGAAAATTAGAAGTAATTAAGTTGCAGATAGTAAGTGACCGGGGTTGTTATTTGACCAGGTTCGGGGCCAGGTTTGATAAAATATAGCAGGGACCAGGACCGGGTTTGTGACTGGGACTGCATAAACATTTATACATCCTAAAATATATATTTCTTCATTCAAAATTCATGTTATATTTTGTATATATATGCGTATATAAATATCATTATGATCAACATGATCATGATTATAATCATTATCATCAATAGCATAAAAGAGGAAGGCTAAAGTCTGATGATCATGATCATCATTATCATCATGACCATCAGGCTTTAGCCTTCCTCTTTTATGCTGTTTCTCTAATATAAACAATCTAGAGCATTTTTTTTTTAACTAAAGCTCATTCATACAATATGTAAGGTACTTTCTTCAAGTTTTTTTACTTCTACCACTACATTTTCTACTGAAGCTGCTACCTCACTACATGCTGATACCTAAATTACTTTAACATTTTCTAACAAACATTGTTCGACACATTTTTTCTAATCTTGGTAAGATTATGTCTACTTTTCTTGTCTAGCTAGAGTCAAACCATTCATTCATTTGATTATATTCTATTTCGGCAAATACTGCACCATATAAATATTAAAGTTTATATAACAATGAAAGGATATTGTATGCCAGCATCTAAATAAATAGCGAACATATATGTTTATACCCATATTATGTATGCCTCTGTAGGGCCTCTGTATAAGTGGAAGCTTTTATTCCTTCTGGAATAAATGTTTGAAAGCTTTTATTACTTCTATTCAATTTTAAGTCAAGCCTCATTTTAAGTCTCATTCTACTCATTTTTGACCATCTTGAGCAGTTGCTTTATTGAACAATCATTTTTAAAATTTATTTTACAAGAACATTTCTCTTAAGAACAAATGTCCTTTTATTAGTTTTAATTTTATCCTCTCTTTAGAACAAATATCCTTTTATTATTGCAAGAAACCTAAAAAAGTCCTGTCTGATGTTAAGTTCTGTTATTCTCATTTTACTAAGTCTTGTATCTTATCTTAGATGTTAGGTTCTAGAGACTTTTGGTCTCTAATAATTTCTTAATAATAATTGGTCTTCAATAATTTCATTAACTAAAGTAAGTCTAACATTTAATTTTTAATTCATGGTCTGATCCTTTTACTTCTCCCCAGAATTTTTGAAAAAATTTAAAAAGAAAAGAATTTTTTGCAAAGAATTATTATTCTGATTTGACTCTTGAATATAATGGCCACACTCTTCCTGACAGTTAAACATTCATTCTTCTCTTCCTGACAGTTAAACAGATTAACCCATTACTAAACATTGAAATCACTATGGCATTCAATGCTAAAATAAATTCTCAATTAAAGACTTCTACAATTTGTGCTCCAGAATAGATTTCCGTCATAGTCTTAAAAAAGTGTTCTTAATAAGTGATTCCAATTTTTCAAAACTCTAGAAAACACTTTGACCTCTCTAACTATCCTATGATTAGTCTTCACTCTGTTTCTTTATATAAAGGTTTTAAGGTTACCAAATTAAATAAAAAGGTTACCAAATAACAAAAGTAGTAAAGTTATTCTTGAAGACCTACCCACTTCTTTATTAATATGACGATGATGATTCATCTTCTTTCAATAATGCTAATTCCTCACCAACTAATAAAGGTTGTCAGACATCTACATCAGGTTGTCAGCATTCCACATCAAATTTAAGAATGACAATTGCAAAAAGTTTTCTTACTTGCTATGAGTCAAAGGTAGAAAGAGAAAAGTAAGAAAAAAGAAAAGAAGATTCTTGCAATAGCAGATGTAGACAAAAAGTTTATGGAAAAAAATAAGTAAATTATAAAATATAGAAGCAGTGTTGTACTATTTAAAAATTGATAATAAATACCAATTTTTATATGGCAATATATATATATATATATATATATATATATATATATATATATATATATATATATATATATATATATATATATATATATATATATATATATATATATATATATATATATATATATATATACAGGGCTCAATTTAACTTTTTTAAAAGTGTTGGACAAAATGTCTAATTAAAACTTGTTTAAGTCAGACAGTGTCCAATAAAATTTTTAAAATATAATTTTTTCGGTTTTACAAAACCGAGTTGTGCTATCGAAATCTTTGTCATGTTATTCAGTTTAATTAACGTTAGTCTAGTGAAGTTGCAGTTTCTTTCCTTATTATTTAGAGTATTTCATCTCATCATTTTTATTTTTTTAATGATATAGTTTCAACTTAATATTGTATGTCTTTTTAGATAGATTTAAATTTTCATGCTGAAACTGACGACACTTACACTTTTTTTCTTTTTTTTCTTTACAATTTGATGGCGGATGTTTTAACAATTCAACTGTAATAAAAAAATCGTTACGCTCAAATAACTTTTAACCATTGATCTTTTTTTTTTAAGTTAAGCTTTTATTGTACGTAAAGGCTTTAAATAAATAAAAATTTATTATAATGGTCATTTAAAATAAACGCATTATGTGGAAATTAAATGTTATACTTCATTTAAATTATACTTAACTTTGTTTTTTAATAGGTTTTTTTATAAAAAAAATTTAAACATTTGAAACTACTTTTCCATGTCTTTCTTAAAATCTTTTAAAAGATTAGTTTTTAAGTTATGAATAAGTTTAAAGTTAAAAATTATTCATAACTTAAATTATGAATAAGTTTAAAGTTAAATTAAATCTTCATATGATTTAATTACTTTATTTATTTTTTGTTTCTATTTTTACAATTAATTGTGTAAAAGTTTTTAACTTGACTTACTAATTAAAGCATGAAACGATTAAAAATTACGATTTTAAAAAGACAAAATTAGTTTTTTTAAACAATATTATTTTGCAACATTAAAAAAAAATGTTTATACAACTTAAAAATACTATATTTTTTTCTTTTTAATAATTTAAATTCACTTTTCAATAATTAAATAAAATTTATTTATTTACATATCATTATCATCAATCAATAAAAGTAAATTGTAAAAGCGTTTTGCGTTACTTAAATTAAACGTTTTAAAAGATTTAGAGTAATTTTTTTCGAATGCAATTAAAAATGTAACAAAAAAATAATTTTAAATTCGAGTTTTTATAGTTTTATTTTAAAGCTAATTTGTTTTTTCTTTTTCGTAAGGAATTGTTTTGCTCATTCTTTAATTTTTCAAATTTTTTTTCTGGTTTAAGTTTAGTTTAAGGTTTCTTTTTTCAGCGCATTTCTGAAACATTTAAATCATCAAAACATCTAAACAGTCGTGGTCAACAGTTGTAAACAAAAAATCATTTATGTGGTCAGCAATAGCGTTCGATCACACACCTTTCCTGTCCAAGCTTTATTTTGTGGAATTTAATTCTCGTCAGTCAAAATGTAAATTGACCGAACAATCTAAGATTTTAGCAGGGCAAAATCCAATGACCGATCGTTAAATTGAGCCCGGTATATATATAGGCCTTGGTGGGAAGAAATGAGTAAAAGAGCAGCGAAAAGTTCTCCTAAAATGAACTTGGCGAACTATGCGAGCTGCTCCTCTAAACAGCTTCTTAGGAGAGCTTTTAGTTTTTGGGAGAGCTATCAGTTTATTCATGAAAAAAATTGCTTATTAACTACAATATTTTGGTTATACATACATACATATACATATACATACATACATACATATATATATATATATATATATATATATATATATATATATATATATATATATATATATATATATATATATATATATATATATATATATATATATATACATACACATACATATATATATATATATATATATATATATATATATATATATATATATATATATATATATATATATACATATACATACATATATATATATATATATATATATATATATATATATATATATATATATATATATATATATATATATATATATATATATATATATATATATACATATACATACATATATATATATATATATATATATATATATATATATATATACATATACATATACATATATATATATATATATATATATATATATATATATATATATATATATATATATATATATATATATATATATATATATATATATATATATATATATATATATATATAAAGCATGGGAAATAATGACTGGTCAACATTCAACGACTGTTGAGTAAAATTGATATTTTGACATACTAAAATGATTTCTTGCCAGTGAAACATGACCGGTTGAAAAAAAATCAGATTTTTGAAAAACGAGATTTTAAAAATAATCATGATGTAATTTGGAAAATGCATATACTAAAATTTTATGTTATTTAAATTTTAACTTTTTCATACTGAAACTGGTTGTTAATGACCCTGTAGTAACAAATCAATAATTAAAGGTTTTTTTTTAGCAGAGCCATTAATCAAAACTACTTGATTTTATGCTTTAAAGGATAACTTTATGCTCAGCTTCAAAATTAGCCGTAATAAACTAA